ATATTTGTTCGAAGTAACAAAGTGGTTTTGGATTACTGTAACTGTTATACCGGACGTACCTATTCTATTATTAATAGACTCTCCCACACATAATAAGTAGTAGTAGCGGTCGCCAGTTGGGCTCAGTGGTGTTGAGCGAGTCAGTCGATATCGGACATTGAAGTACCAACCATCACAACTAGATTGCTGCGTCATTAACTCTTATTTCAAGTTCCTAACGTTTTGTACGTCGAACCTAATTTAGGACGACTTATTGAAATACAAGCCTCCAATGTGAAAACAACAGTAACCGAGTAGAACAATCTAGCAGGTAACCGTAATGGACTGATCCTCGTCCTACTGGTAGGCAATAGGTATAGACAATAGGCGTCATCTTGTACTTTCACATCAGTCTGTATTTATGGCTGATACCAGTCAATCATATTACTGTGAGGGGGAACATAGGTGTATGCATATTCATTACATTAATAACTAATTAATTCAATTAAGCTAAATCACTACAGTGACGGATATATTCAATTTAGATAAAAAAATTTAAAAGTATATTTCAATAAACATTTCTTCTGTTATTTATTTTCAATCCAAAGTTTTTAAATCGACATATAAAAGCAATGATTCAGCCATTTTTTTAATACATCATGTTTATAAATAATGAATTTATATCTGCCTCATTAATATTCAGTCGTAAATTAGAAGTTCCACAGCGTTCATAATAAACTTCATTGTCTGCTATTTCACTTACATTTCCGAATTTTAATTCGGTAGAGTTTAAGCAAATCTGATTAAACAGATTATTTAAATTTATATAGCTAATTCCTTTATTTTTTCATACGCTCGAGACTAATTTGTAGTAATGTGAAATAGCCGACAACGACAATGTTTATTATGAACGCTGTAGATCTTCTAATTTACGACTGAATATTGATGAGGCAGATATAAATTCTTTATTTGCAAACACGATTTAGTAAAAATAATATCAACTGAAACATTGCTGTCATATGACGATTTTAAAAGTTTGGATTCAAAATAAATAATATATAAGTTACATTTATTGAAATATACTTTTAAATATTTATGTAAACGAAATATTTCCACCGCTGTTATAAATGCTAAAGCAGGTTGTAACTCAATACAAACCCTACAAACTAACTGATGAATCAAACTGGTATTTATATAGAAATACCTCCACTCATGTACCAGCAGCCAATCACAGCCCAAGCAATGGACTATCCCACTTTAGCACAATGAGATGCTCTATGGCACCATAAATAACTCAACCTTAAGAGAGCTATTTATGTTGCCATGGAGCATTTCATAAGTACCAGCTTGATTCATCAGTTAGTTTGCAGGGTTTGTATTGAGTTACAATCTGCTTTATTTTTGTCTGCCAGCTGGACGCTAGCTGGGACCCTTACGCCGGTAAGTGCTGTTTATTATTGTTATTCTGCATTTATTATTATATATATATATATATATATATATATATATATATATATATATATATAAGAAGCTGGTAAGAATTCTCTTATGTTTTATTGATGTCAGACACAACATAGCCTAACGCGAATTTATGCTAGTTCATACTTTGGCTTTTCCAAAGACTGAAAGCAACACTCTTTTATCCGAAGCCAAAGTTAAAGCATTTTTTCAACCCAAGCAAAACAATAAAGCCATGTAAAGAGTAAAAGAATATGCGAAAAATAAAAACATTATTTAGCAGGTAGAACAATAAAAGAACAGGAATTAAAAAGGCGGAAGATAACGAGTGTCATTGCATTTAAATGTTTGAAGATCATATTTGATCTGAGAAGTAAGAGGCGAGAAGAAACTGTTAGCATAGAACTTACGGTTAGATATAGCCATTTCGACTGTAAAAGGATGAAACCTAGATGCCAGTCTAGTACGGCGCTTACATTCGTAAAGTCGATGAACCAAAGAGAAAACACCAATCAGAACAATTAGCAAGAAAATATTTATTTAAAAAAGGCACCGATTAGCTACGTTACAGCGATCGACAAAATGACTGAGGGCGAGATGTCAGCTCAGAACCGATAAACATTGCAGATTCCTCTTTGGATTTTATCACATATCGCTAGATACATAGCTGAATTACCAGACCAGATATGACAGCAATATTCAATGCATTGATAGACTTATAAATGTAACGATAAAAATTGTCTAGAGCAATAAATTAAAGCAACATACAATTGATTCAATATAAGCTTCCTGGTCCATGTCAGTGACAAACCTTAGCCCGTGAAGCTGCAATGAGTCATTATTCTAGAGGTTAGCATCAGCCATGCTGACACAAAGCATAAAAAATGTCTAGAGCAATAAAGTGAAGCAACATACAATTGATTCAATATAAGCTTCCTGGTCCATGTCAGTGACAAACCTTAGCCCGAGAAGTTGCAATTATTCTAGAGGTTAGCATCAGCAATGCTGACACAAAGCATAAAAGATGTTATAAGACGATTCAATGTAAGCAGCTACTTAAAACTGACAAGCTCCCTCTAGCTCCAACTAACAGCAGATTATATGTCATTTCTTTCAATCATCTGCTAATTTGATCTTATCGTACCTAAGATATGAGTAAATAGTTGTGTCATCAGCATAAATAACTAGTAGGGAACAATATAGTTCCAATGATAGAACCCCCGGAACAACCTGTATTAATGCAAAAAAGTTCTAAAAGAGTGGAAGAAGACAAACTTCATTTCGCAGTTTGATCAGTAAGAGTGAATCAGATCAAACATACGTCGAGAAACACGATAACCTTTCAACTCGGGAACCTGGCAAACGCCTTCGAGATATCCAAAGCACAGCCAGAGCTTACCATTCTTATCTAAAACTTGACAGACTCTTTAAGCCATAACCGTCAACACATCAGAAGTTGACCTAGACAAGCGAAAGCCATATTGTTTGTCTGAAAGAACACCCTGCGACGCGAGATGCGTAATCAGTTCGGAGTTGATTGGAGACTCTAATACTTTGCTAAAAAGGTTAGTGGGCTAATTAGACGATAGTTAGTAGGAAAGACTGTCTTAAAGACAGAAACCGCAGAATAGGATTTCCAAGAAGAAGGAAAGCGAAAAGCAGCAAGACATATTTATTGTAGAGAAGACAGGAGCCAGTTCAGGAGCACATTTCTTAATGACTATTTATCCAGTGATACACCTTCTGTGTAGCATTACATCAAAACCAGGCTTTCTTTATGGATAGAATAAAATATGGATAGAACGCGTTGAAAAATGTGCAGCCACCCAAATAATGATTAGGTTAAAAGAAATCAACTCGTAATTTTTAAGAACAATGAAGTGATTTCATATTTCTTCGTTCAGTTTTGTTTAAAATTCTTTTCTGGGATTGGAGACCCTATATATCAATACAACTTTCATCATTTATTTTAATTCTTTTTTTTTTAACCGTTTCCTTAATTTGTTTGGTCTAAAACTTATTTTATATGATTCTAGAACTTAATACTCATCAATCATTTCTACAAATTTTGAAAAGAAACAGACTTCATTTTTGTATGAATTTCATTATTTTGTCTGGTCGAAAATTAGTTTTATAGGGTTGCAGACCTCATTAATCAATCAACCCTCGTCAGTTTGAAGAAAAATGAATTAAATTCATTTTGATAACCAGTTTCATTATTCTCACAGATCTGAAACTAGTTTTATAGAATTGGAAACCTTACAATCACTTTTCTATTGTTTGAATCAATTACTTTATAGTTTCTGTTTATTTTAAAATTTCCTCCTTTTTTACATAACTTCTCCACAGTTTTCGAAACATTTATCGTTTATGATTGCTTCTAGTCTTTTATTCATCTGGGATGCAATTCTTCAATAGTCACAGCCAATGAGAATAGACCAGCACTATTTTCTTTCATAAAGTTGTAAAGCTTCTGTTGTGGCCAGAAATAAAGACACAAGTGAGGAATTGAGTTAAGCAAATATATTAACAGAAACAGTAATACAAACAATATACAAATGAGAGTGTTACAGCAAGAATGTTAGGTCCGACTGTCAGGGCTGACTGCTGGAAACTTCCCTCTCCAAAAGGCAGTACCTGCTCCTATTTATAGATGGTAGAGTCCATGTGTGCGTGGGTAAATTACAGGTTCCGAGAAATTTACCTCTTTAGTTCCACCAATGTTTGAATCCTATCGTTTACTCTATCATTATGTACATGGCAAATGTTTCGATAAATTCATTTCACCAATTCAGACCTTGTAAAACAATTTAAAGGAACCTGGAAAAAATCTTTACAGATGATTCACTGGATAAAAAAAAAAACCTCTTGATGGAATTAGATTTGCATATATCAACTATTTTATTTTCTAGTTGATGTTATCATTTTTCTTTTCATGAACAGTTCTGCGTTCATGCTTTTTAGATCAGATTTTTGTTTGTTGCTTAAATTTATTTAAGGAGTTTTTATTTTTCACAGACTAGCAACAAATGTTTCTTTAGAAGCAAATTATACGCTGCCAATGATTTTACTTTGCAAACAACAGATGGAAGAGCATTTTTTTAATCTATTCCAGACATGTAGTGGGAAAATAGATCAGTTTCAGGATTACATCAACTTCGTATGAAATTCTTAGATGAATCGTTACAATCATTCCCTGAAGCATTTTTATCCCGGCCATTTATATCAATAAATTTTGACCAATGTATCCTTTGGCCTTCTACATTTATATTTCAATCGCGTTCAAAAATGGCCAGTCTGGAGTGAGTAACTGATTTATTTCTTACGGCTTATGAAACTTTTGCAAGTTATTTAAATCCATAAAATATTTTTTCAGTTGTAAGACTTATTTACCAATATAAATACTACTAATTAATCCATAGCTACGGAAAAAGAGATTGAGCCATACCTTTTCCAAGGGTATTTGCGCACGAGTGAACATAACGAACTCAAGTGGAATTTGAACTTAGCTCTCCGATTTCCAATACCGAGACGTTGTAGATTACACCAACCGCACATCCAAGAATACAGCACACGGTATTCCCAAGCGGTCACCCATCTAGGTACTGACCACACTGAACGTTGCTTAACTTTCGTTATCGTAGGAGAACCAATGTTCCAAGTGATATGGCCGTAAACTCCCCAGCTTGGTGGAGTGCTTCATACAACATATATTTGTAGAAAGCCGAAGATCATGCGGGCCAAAATGTCGTCGAACCAAATAGATGACTCTTCGAGTCCAAATAGTTCTTAGATTTATGCAAACTTTTGGAATTTAAATACTTGTTAAATCTTCAAATATTATTATATAATTTTAAATATGATTATTTATTAGACCTAAAGATTTACATTTCCAGATTAACATTTCCTTGTGTCGGAAGTTTTCAAAGGAGGAATTATTATTATTATTATTATTATTATTATATAATTTGCTACTCGGACTAGTATGTTCATCTTGGTTGTTATACTCATAACACTTAGGTCGATCTACTCTCCTGCCATATTCACTATTCCACATGGACTGATGAGCAATTCTGTCTCTACATATATGATCCTCCATGCATGGTTTAATTGTGTCTGCTTGGAGTACAGCATTCCTTCGGAAATTAAAATTACATCATACTTAGAATTAAACGGGTTGGTAATATAGCTGGATTAAAATAAACGAACAACTATACGGGGCAATACTTTGACATGTTGCAAAATGATTTTTTTTTTTACAAAAACGTATTTTGGGTATTAAAACCTATTTTTACACTTTCATAGTGTTTTGATCCCAATTAAGGGGCTATTTTCCCATAGCTGGGACCCTAACAGGTGCTACCACCCCGGATCAGGGGTTAATCTGGGAACACCAGCAATTAAAAGGTGGTTCCACGCTCATCAAAACCTCCTGAGCAAAGACCTTGCTGTTGGATGTAGTTTATCGTCTTACCCAAGACGCTGATGCAGTTTATCGTTATACTCAGAATGGAGCAAAAGTTGAAGGTGGCCTGCCTGGCTCATCTGGTCCCGTCTCTGAGCAGTTGATAGTCACTGTAGAGCCAACATTCAGAAATGGTGATACGCCACCGATGATGATCCCAACTGTCAATGCGAACAATGACAAACTATGAAGCATCTTCTCGTTTGTTTCAATCTTGAAGATTCGTGTACATATAACGACCTTGAAACATTAACACCCCGAACATGTGTAACACTGAATGGGAGTAGTGTAGGGACTCAATAAGAAGAGATGCATATCTCCTGAAAGAATTTAATGAATATCTGAGACAGTTTTCTACATTCAGTCGAACCACTGAACAACAGAGCTCCGAGTCAGCGTTTGTCCCTGGGGTGCAGCTACCTCAACAACGTCGAACACATGATCCCTCTCAGCCCTACACAAAAAAACATCACCGCTGGCTCTAGTGATGCCTAGCTCATCTGGTCCTGCTTGAACCACCTCTGAGTAGCTGATGGTCGCTGGAGAACCAACCTTCAGAAATAGGGATATACCACCGATGATGATCCAACTGTCAATGCGCGTCTTCCAGTTTACCCCAGCCTTAAAGATTCATGGACACTTAATGACCTTGAAACCTTAACACCCCGGGTAAGGCTCTGTGTGCAGCAGTGAGTGAGGGTAGTGTAGCGACTCAATAATAATAAGACGATTATTCTCTAATTTAAATTTTTTTTTTTCTTTTTCTCATATTCTTTCACATTTAGTCACTCCTTGTGCATAATTGGCTTTATTGCCCTTCATTTCCCATCCCCTTTCCGTTGCAGTAGTGGAAGCAGAACGGATTAAACGTTTCTCTGGACGTAAAGATATTTGTCAAATTCTCTGTACATCCAACAAAGACGAGGGACAGTTGTCACTTATGACATTGAACAAATGACTATAGGGATTAGGTTTTCAGTGCCGTGAACAAGTATGCTTTAGATGTTCCTCTCGGTGTCTAGATTGCATAGACAAATCACCAATTTCTTGAAGCCGGAACCTTGTAAAAATTACAAAATTACATTACATTCAATACTTCAAATGACACGTGACCAATGGAAAACGGCATGACGGTATTTTTGAGTAACCATAAATGAGCTTAGAGGCTAGTGTGCTCGTAGTCAGGCTGCAAGTAAACGCGTTTCTTTAGCCCATGTTGACATACTTGGTACCACGTTTGCTTTGGTTTCCGTTGGGGATGCGTGCGGTTTGCAACTGACACCTTAACAGCGCCTCGATCTCAACGAGTGTCTGTATAACCATAATCAAGTATCCAAAAGCACCATCGACGTATTCAGTGCCATTTTTGTTGTCGTTGTAGTAAACACAAGGTGGCTGCTGGCAGAAAATACTCTTGCATGTTGAGTTAGTATGATTTTGAGAGATGGAAATATAGGTGGTAAAAATTTTGGGTCCATGGCGACTTCCAGATGATGGAAAGACATGAGATCAAACATGATTTTTGAAGGCAAACGTGGTGACATGGTTCAAGAAGAAACTAAGAACTTTTAGAGCGCTCATTTTTATACATCAGGTTTCTCCATTAGATTCAGCGAAGAAAAAGAAAGTATATTTCAGTAAAATGGATTTGAAAGACATTTTATTTTTCATGTTTTATCAGAAAAGCTAGCTCACATCTCAAATGACACGGTATCTTAGCTTTTTGATTTTGTTTCTTGGCGCTCACTGGTCAGCTTCTTAGATTGTTCTCTTCGAATTGTTTAAGATTGTCGATTACTGAACAGTTTCTTTGTTACAGAATTCTACCACAATACCACCTGGTAATAAAAGCTGTGTAGATGCATTTTAAACAGACGTTTCTCTTTTCACTTTCTGTTCAGCCGCGGGGTCGGTAGCTATCAATTTTAGATCTGATATCATCAATATAATTTGAAGGTATTAGAGAAAATTACGAGAATTATATTTCTCAAGAGAACCATTTGGATTATATTATCGCAGACGCCCTCTGGGTAAGACCTTGACCCATTAATATAAATCAGCCACCGTTTCCAAATATTTATCTTTGGTATTTACTGTAATTTTGTTTAGTCCTCCAATCGGATTAAAAGTAATTTGCATCATAGTCAAAAAATGTTTTTACTTCCTGATTTGAGGCGTTGATTCCTACTGCCAATTTTGGTAACTAAGATTTTCGAGATGTCAATTTCAGAACTGCTAAATGTTACGTGAAACCATTCTGTTAACACAGGCGATTCTATGGTTATCATGAATAAAAATATTTTATCAATAAAAAGTTTTTTTCTTACTATTTCTCCCTACAAAGAATCATAACCATAATTCAAATTAGTTTCATGTTATGTCCTTAATACGGCACCGATAACAGCTTTTATTGAACTGACTAAGCGTTTCACCTTCCTTAGGTAGGCGTCCTCGGGTCAAAACGACTAGTCAACAAAATAGTTTTCCCTTTGTTTGATTCGATTTTATATCTAACACACACACACACACACACACACACACACATATATATATATATATATATATATATATATATATATACTTTAAACTATATTATAAGTGGACACTCTTAGTTGAGACGGTGCTGAGTTTATATATTAAACATTTTACTTATTTATATTCACCTCCCGGCTTGAATATTCGAGAAATCTTAATAAAAAAATGCTCTGTTCAGCAGGAAGAAGCAAATTTATATATATATATATATATATATATATATATATATATATATATAATTATTATTATTATTATTATTATTAATTTGAATTGACGTGTTTAGTCCCGTTTCATCCTCAAGCGATATTTTAGGAATAAGCTATCTCTCGATTTACGTGTGTTTTTTCTTTAATTTTAAATTTTAACTTAAAAATTTTAATTTTAATAATTTTTTGGATGGTTTCGGCTCTCGTTTTTGAAACATGAGAACTCTTATGTAGCGAAGGAATCATATTTTTAAACAAAAAATATTATTATAATAAAGCTCTACTTCTGTATGGAGCACTGTCTTAAAAATAAAAACAAAAATACTAAGGATTATGCACCCAATGTGTTCTTTCCTATTTTCTGCATACCTGCGCACTTATATATAACAAGCTAGCTAACCGGTTTCGAACCTCGCTCACCTGGACGAGGTTCGAAACCAGTTAGCTACCTCAACAAGACTAATAAATATATAATTAGCAATAGAAAGATAAGAAATATGTAGGAAAGGATATATATATATATATATATATATATATATATATATATATATATATATATATATATATATATTCTGATTAGGAGAGAAAAGGATTAACTAAGGAGAAAATGCATTGAGATTGTTCAAATCTCACAATTATCGCTAATAAACCTAAGCTCAGGACTATACCGATTATCGCAAAATCAGTAGTCGTACAATGCGGTATACGAGCTAATAAAGTGAAAAGCAGGTATCTCCTTGGGGTAGGGCTTATTTAAAGAATCCATTAGTCACCAACAAACATTTCTATATAAAAATGAAACAAACAATTCCTGGTTGTTGTATCTGATAAAGTAATTTAATTTATAGCCCCTGTTATCTTCAAAAATCCCAACGCATTTTCCTTACACGCAATTTTGTCTTTTATTCTAACAAAAACCTAAGCCAAATACACATCACGTCTGCGTAACGTATCGCTTAAAAACTTTTTAAAACTTATTTTCTCAATTCTGATTTATTTATCAATGATAGCAATATCTATCGGCGCCGTTATCTAGAATTAAAATGTAGGTGTTTTCAATCCCTGCACAAAGACTGAAATTGTTGTTGATTTGTATCCTTGCCGAAAGCCAGAAATTGTTGGTGTGTTCAATCCCTGTTCAAAGGCTGAAATTGTTGTTGTTTTCAACCCCTGATCAATGGGTGAAATTTTCCAGTAATCATTTTAAATAAGTTTTAAAACCACAAACAGATATTTAAGTTGATTACACTATTTGTACATCTGCAAATTCTCTGACTCCATAAATATTCCAGTTCTACAATACCTTAGAGTGTAACAATATTGTCTCCCTTCAGAATTTCCTACAAATTTTATAATTTTTCTGAGGCGCGGAATGAGGAAATAGAGTAATTAAATCATAAAATAAAAACGTCTTCGTTCTTTAAATAAAACGAAATCCCCGCTTTATTCATTGACATCTGTAAAAGGAT